CTCATGCTGCAGCTGCTCTATGCTGCTACATTTAGAAGAGTTTCCCACGTCCAATCTTCCTATGGCTCAGTTAGCTTTCAGTGGGGTCAGACCAGATTGGTAACTGCCTTTTCGATAGACTTCACTGGGCTGGAAGAGTGTTGTTCACAGTGGGCTTTTGGCCTAGCAGTTGATATTCCACTTGGGGTACCTGCATCTTCTGTCAGAGTGCTTGGGTTTGAGTCCTGGCTCCACTTGTGAAATCATAATCATCCTCCTTCTGGTATGCATCCCGGGAGGCTGCAGTTGATGACTCAAGTGGTTGGGTTCCTGCAATGGCCTGACCTACTAGGTGGGAGGGGTGTGTGTGTGTGTGTGTGCACGCGCGCGTGTGCGAGTTTTAAATTTGAAAGTCAAATATTATATATAGATAGTATTTTATAGCACAATCTAAAAAAGTCTTTGATAAACTTAAATATTCAATAGCTGATAAAAATAGAAATTGGTGTTTTGTTTATTTTTCAAAGCTCCTCCAAGATTTTTTTACTTATGTGCTTAAAACTGCTGTTTATTTCAGAGACAGAAAGACAGATAGAAAGCAAGCTCCAATCCAGTGATTTTCTCCCCTAAGTGCCATGGTGTCTGGAGATCAGAGCTGGAGATGGCAACTCAATGCAGGTTTCCCATACAAGTGACTAGAACCCAATTACTTGAGCTATACATTCTGTCTCCCAGAATGCAGCTTGGCAGGAAGCTGGAGTCAGGAGCTAAGGCCAGATCATACCGAGGGATTCCAGTGGGCGTGCCAGTGCCTTCGTCACTACAGGAGATGCCCACCTGTTCCCATGCCCTGAAGTTTTAAAAGCAATACCTACTACAGAGAAGTGTATGTGTGTATGTATATAAAATAAAAAATTTATAACTCAGTAAATTTTTACAGGAAATAATGTATATTATATAACATATAAGAATTATATAATAAATAATGTGTAATAATAATGCATAATCATAATCCATAAGAAGTAGAACATGACTAGCAAGCACCCTAATAACCCAAATTCCCTCTTCTACTTTGTTCCAAATATAACAATCATAGATTTATTTTGCATATTTTATAATTTTGGGTAAATTAAATCATACAGTATGTGCTCTTTTATGTCTGGCTTCTTTTTATCACTGTGTTATTGTTAGAGATGAATTAACGGAGAACATGATAGGTCACAGGGAACTGAATTTTTATTGTTGTGGCAGGGCAGCCATCATATTGCAGGATAATGCACCAAAATAAAGAAAATGAGAATTTTTATACTTTTATAAAATGATAGTGCAAGTGGCGGAAAAGCAGGTGCGTGGAGCACGGATTAATGGAGTTTCCACAAGGTCGGAGTAGTCCATCACAGTTCCAAGCAAAGGGTAAATAAGTAGCTCTCCTGTGGGGAGAAAGGAATCAGGTAACATTCCAAGGGACAACAAAATATCAGACTCTGGGGTCAGGTCTTTGCATGACTCTAGGCCTATGTACAACTTACATGTACACAGGGTGTTCTCTGCTCTACATCTCTCCTGGGATGTCTGCCAGGCATGCACATCAAGGTATGCTGGAGATTCACTCAAATGTTGTGTAGCAACGTTTGCCATAAAAAATCTGTTGCTAATGTATATTTTACTATTATTAGATATTTGCTTTATTTTTTAGCTTGGAGCTGTTATGAGTAGTACTGCTATAAACATTTCTTATACAGCTTTTAGAGAATACATACAGTCCCATTTTTTCTCGTGTATGGATTTTGGAGTCCTGTGTTTATTAGACATACCCAATTGGACTCCATCAAGGTTTGCCATGTGGGATCAGAGGCCTAAGAACTTGAGCCATCCTCCTGTCAGGCCATTAGCATCTGGGATTTGTGCTGTTGCCCATGTAGAATGCTGGTGCTGCATGCAGCCCACTATGCTATGTGTTGGTTGAGTCTTTTGTTAAAACTACATAGATATTACAACTTATAGCCATTTATATTCCATTGAACAAAATGTCAGAGCGCTCTATCCTGTTATGCAATTAATTGTCATTTTAAACGTTCACTGTTCTAGAAGATATATGGTGTATCTCAATGATCACGTCAATACATTTTTTATAAATATTTATTTATTTACTGGAAAGACAGTTTTTTTTTTTTTTTTTGGAAAGACAGATTTACAGAGAGAAGGAGAGACAAAGAGAAAGATCTTCCATCTGTGGTTCAATCCCCAAGTGGCCCCAACAAATAGAGCTGAGCCCATCCGAAGCCAGGGGCCAGACGCTTCTCCTGGAGCTGCCACGTGGGTGCAGGGTCCCAAGACCTTGGGTCATCCTCCCCTGCTTTCCCAGGCCACAGGCAGGGAGCTGGATGGGAATGGAGCAGCTGGGACATGAACTGGCACCCATATGGGATCCTGGTACTTGCAAGGCAAAGATTTAGCCACTTAACTAAGATGCTGCTGGATGCCATATTTTCATTCTTATTTCATATGTTTTTATGTATTAACATCTAAATGCACTCATTTGTATAGTATCTGTAGCTCTTTCTCCAGATTAGTATTTAGTTTTTGATCTTTCCTGGTTGCTTCACAGGGTTATGTAGTTGGGATTTGAGCTCTCTATCATGTAGATGTGTTGCAAGCACTGTTTCTCCTAGTAATGGTGTTATCTGGTAAGGTGTTAATTTTTTCCTCCTGTGGTTAATGCTTGTGTATCACTAAAGAAATCCCAATACCTCTAAAATCTTCTGTTTTCCTTTGCAGATTTATTATTTTGTCCTTCCCGTTTAAGTCCATAATCCACATTGAAGATTTTTTTTCTTTTGTTAATTTAAATGTATTTATTTTTAAATGCTATATAGGTGAGGGAATTGCAAACCCATACAGGTCTCTGGGATTACTAGATTTTCCATATGAGTACTCACTCAGATGAGCCCGAATCATTCTTTCTCCAAATTATGCTGTACAGTCATCTTTGTGATATGTAAAGTGACAATTTGTACATGAGTATGATCCTGAGTTCTGTGGTCAGTTCCCTTAGTCCCACTGTGTACAAGTCTATTACTAGATTCAATTCTGTTTCATTATTTGTGTCAAATCTTGTGCTGATAAAATAGCTCAAAATGGCACCTGATGTACTACCACTTCAGTTCTTGATCTGCTGGCCGTCAGGTCTGAGGTCTACCCACACCTGTCTTGGGTGGAATCTGTAGAGTGCCATGTTGATGCAGTTCATTGAGGCAGAAATGAGTTCACTCCTAGCTCAGTGTATGCTCAGTCCTTTCCCTTGTCTTTGCCTCCTTATGCAAAATGGCACCCAATTCAGCTCTAGGGGGCTGACTGGTCTATGAAATCCACCCTGTTCTCGCACTGCCCATCTGGGATCTGCTGTTCTGTCTCTGCTGCTGGTCAAATCAAATGGACCAGCAGGACGAACGGTTCTTTGGGTTCACCTCCCAAGCTCCCAGTGAAAGTCCCTTCCCACCTGGTTGCTGGTGGAGTTCTGGTTGTTAGTGGAGTTCCGGCTGCTGGTAAAGTTCAGATCACCGTTAGCTGAATGCTGCTGGAATATCAGTCACTGCAACACCACACCGTTGTGTCCGCTGCTTTCCTGTTCTGTCAGTCTCCAGGTTCCCCTCTGCTGTTGTTCTATCCTTTCCTATTTCCTGAAATATGTCATCTCTGCTTCATCCTGATTAAACGTTTTTCCGTCCGTTTAAACATGTCCTTACCCTATGCCGCCATCTTGATTCTCTCTTGGCTTTCAAGATTTTAGAATTGGCTGTCCAGAAAATTCCTGCTAGGATCTTGACGAATACTGGCTAATTAAACTCCCAGGTTAATGGGGAGAAGTGAAAGTGTTCCTATGCATGAACATAGACCTCTTCATATTTTCAAGTTTTTAAAAAAATTCTTTGAAATTTTTTCTTGCAGTTTGAGGTATACCGTTCTTGCACGTTTTCATAATGTTTTCCAAGTGTTTGTTGCAGAAGACGACCCAAGTCTTTGGGTCCATGAACTCACATGAAGAGACCTGGATGGAGTTCCAGGATCCTGGTTTCAGGATGAGCTGACTCATCTTGGGTCACTGCAGCCATCTGGGGAGTGATCTCTGTCTATAATTCTGTCTTTAAATAAATAAATCTTTAAGAAACAAGAAAGAAAAGATGGACAGTCAGAGATACATAGGAAAAATAACCTGTAGGCCATAACTCTACCAGGTTGACATTGAGATACCCATAAAACCAAGTGCGAACATTGTTGAATAAGTGCGAAAATTTTTAGAGAGAAAATAACTGTGTTTGTTATTGCAGTAGCAGATCCTGTTTCTAATATGCACACTGGAGTTGACCTCAGACGTTCCACTCTGTTCTTGATTTTATGTCCTTACTTTAACTCGTGCGCCATGGTACAACTCCTTCATGTGAATGTTACAAGCAATAGGAGTCCTTCTTTTATCAGTAGCTATGTGTGAAGAAACTGGCCTCCTAGCTTTTTACTGTCATCTGAATGCTAAAACATCTGTAAAATATAAAATGCCTTGTTTTAGCAACTGCTCTTACGGGTTGTTTTTATCTTCTGCTAAATGTTGACTGCTGATTACTGTGATTTCTCAAGGCTGAAATAGCATATCACCAAAGTAGACAAGGGATAGTTTTGGCTTTTTTCTTTATCGCTTAGTATAATATGATCTGTAGCCTTTATTTGTTTGTTGTTTTTGGTCTTAGAAAACCAGGTAATCTCTTTCTGCTCAAAAGTAAGTTAAATTCAGCATTCCAACTGGGGCCTGTGACTTCTGAGGTAAAACTCCTGAGCTCTCCTGCCTATTATACGTTAGATCCATCCTCGCCAGGATTCTCTGCTCCCTTCCCTTTTCCTAACTTGTCTTCAGGGAATCTTCAAAACTGGTAACTCTTTGCTCACATATGAACAGACTTCTCTCTGTGTTTTGTTTGTTTGTTTTTTAACCAAGGTAAAACAACATCTTTATTTTTAATGTCTTCCAGACTGGACAGCTTTGCCCATGAATAAGAAATTTACTTTCAGGGCAGACATTCCTGAAGAATCAGATCAATGGGAAGCAAAGGAAAGAGTCCTAGGAGACGGTCACTGGGACTGTTCCAGTCTATTGGGATGGCAGTGCCAGGAAGGCCAAGTGGTGCTCAACCGGCAAAACCTACCCTCTGGGGTTAGTGAGCATGAAGCAATAGGACCTGGCAAACGCTGCGCTCTGAGCTCATCTGATGAGAGCCAAGAATGTCGACCTCGAGCAAAAGCCTTCGAGTGCAGGGAGTGTGGTAAAAGTTTCTCCAAGAGCTCAACCCTCAAAAAACATCAGAAAATCCACAGTGACAAACTCATTACAAACCCAAAAACTCATCTTAAGGAGAAGCGCTATGAATGCAGAGAATGTGGGAAAGCATTTCACCAAAGCACACACCTGATCCACCACCAAAGAATCCACACAGGTGAGAAGCCGTATGAATGCAAGGAGTGTGGCAAGGCCTTTTCTGTGAGCTCCTCACTGACATACCATCAGAAAATCCACACTGGGGAGAAACCTTTTGAGTGCAACTTGTGCGGCAAAGCTTTTATTCGAAACATACACCTTTCCCACCATCACAGGATACACACCGGAGAGAAGCCTTTCAAATGTGATGTCTGTGAGAAAGCTTTTGTGTGCAGAGCCCATCTCACCAAACACCAGAACATCCATAGTGGGGAGAAACCATACAAATGTCATGAGTGTGGGAAAGCCTTCAACCAGAGCACAAGTTTTCTTCAGCACCAGAGGATCCACACTGGAGAGAAACCGTTTGAATGCAATGAGTGTGGGAAGGCCTTCAGGGTGAACTCTTCCCTCACGGAACATCAGAGAATCCATACTGGAGAGAAACCTTACAAATGTAGTGAATGCGGGAAAGCTTTCCGGGATAATTCATCCTTTGCCCGACATCGGAAAATTCACACTGGAGAGAAACCTTACAGGTGCGGCTTGTGTGAGAAAGCCTTCAGAGACCAATCAGCCCTAGCCCAGCATCAGAGAATTCACACTGGGGAAAAGCCTTATGCCTGTAACATATGTGAAAAAGCCTTTAGTGACCATTCGGCCCTCACCCAACATAAAAGAATCCATACAAGAGAAAAACCTTACAAATGTAAACTCTGTGGGAAAGCCTTCATTCGGAGCACACACCTCACGCAGCATCAGAGGATTCACACAGGAGAGAAGCCCTACAAGTGTAATAAATGTGGCAAAGCTTTCAACCAGACTGCAAACCTCATCCAACATCAGAGACATCATATTGGAGAGAAGTGACGTGAATCCTGTGTATGTGCAAGAGCTTTGAGACTGCAGAGATTCAAATAATGAATATATGGGGCCTGCACATGGGCATAGCAGGCTAATCCTCTGCCTGCGGTTTCAGCATCCCATATTGGCACCTGTTTGTGTCCTGGATGCTTTACTTCCCATGTAGTTCCTGGCTAATAGCCTGGAAAGCAGCAGAGGATGACCCAACTCCTTGCGCCCCTACATCCACATAGTAGACCTGGAAGAAGCTGCTGGCTCTTGGCTTTGGGCTGGCCTGACTCCAGCCTTTGAAGCCATTTGGAGAGTGAACCAGCAGATGGAAAATATCTCTCACTGTCTTTCTCTCTCTCTCTCTATATATATATCTGTCTTTTCAATGAAAACAAATATATGTATTTTTAAAATGTACACATCTATAATAGAAAAAACTGGAAAGCTCACATCAAGATAGTCATTTTATACTGATCTTATACTGTTGTGGGTTTTGAGCATTTAAGAATCACAAACACTCTTTGTTCTTTTAGCACTGCCTTAATTAACTATTGGAACTATTGATTAGTCTGAATTACTAAGAATCAAAACCAAGATGAAGCTTCAGTACAACAAAAATTGGCTTATTAGATTTACATTCTAATAAGATGAATTATAAAATTGTAAAGATTAGGATTGAGAAGCAAAAGAACCTCCTTCCCTGCCCTGCAATGAACAGCCTGCAAGCAGTTAGATCTACCAGATTGTCCTACAGTAGGAAGTTGGAACACTTAGTGGAAACCCTAGCTGTCTTCATACCCATGCCTCACACATGCAGCAACCCAGGCATTGTTTAGAATTTGTTGCTTCACTATTGTTTCAGACCATTATCAGATTTCCTAAGCTGCCTGTCCACTGGCTTCTTTCACCTCCTCTGGGACAACTCATTTGATTGGTGATTTGGCAGCTCCTGTTGACATCATGCCTCTTTTTTCTCCTGCATTTGTCTTGGGTTGGTGTAAAGATTTGATCTCACAATAGTACATGATTCTGGACATCACTCCCAAATCCAATCTTTAGAATGTGGAATATTATCTGTCTCTCTGAGATAGTTTGAACAAAGTCCTTAACCTACCAGTTTCTGCAGGCATCGCTTGACCCTGACTCAGGGATGGTATCCAAAGTAAGGGTTTCACCTGAGTAGTTGTTACCCTGCAGTTTGACCTACAGCTAGTTTTGCTACACATATTGGTCAGGAATAATGTGGAGACCCAAGCCCTTTGCACTTTGTGCCTTGCTGTTTCCCAATGTGCAGGTGATGTAAGAAGTAAGACCTACCCCTGAGACCAGTTCTCCAAATGCGCGGACCCACCTTTCTCTGGACTGAATGTCCGCTGCAGTAGGGTATGTTTTTCTACTCCCTCTATACTGAACCACTGCATCCTAGTCTTTTCCTCACTTGTATCTTGGTTTCTGAAGTTTTCTGTGTTGCTAGGAAAGCCCAGCACTTGCCCCTTTGATTGCCACACCTCTAAGGTGAAGAGGACATTAAGTTGGGTTGGACTGCAGGATGCTCCACAGAGGCCAACTGCAGCAGTTTGGACCCCAAGATCTTTAAGTGCAGTTTCTGCTGAGTACAGGTGCCCCGTTTGGGCAGGCAGTTGATCAGCATTTTGCACATTTCCCCATTTGGCTACCCATGAAGCATCATTTAAAAGGCTCACTTGGGCTGGCCTGTGTCTTGTGCCCACTCATTTACCTGCTGGCAAACCCAGGTTCCATGGAAACTTGATTGCCATATGTTCTGAGGGCAGCTGCCTTCATAATTACCCATAGGGGGCTCAGCACAAATCCTCACCTTGCAAATGCCAGGATCTCATGGGCACCAGTTTGCATCCCAGGTGCTTCACTTCCCATTCTTGCTTATAGCCAGGGAAAGCAATAAAAGATGGCCCAAAGCCTTGGGGCCTTGCACCCACATGGAAGACCCAGAGGAGGCTCCTGGCTCCTGGCTTTAGATCGACTTAACTCCGGCTGTTGTGGCCACTTCAGGAGTGTACCAGCAGATTGAGGATCATATTCTCTGTCTCTTTATACATTTGATCTGTCTTTCCAACAAAAATAAATATTTTTTTTTAAAATCACCCATGTGACTCCTGAGTCTTGCCCACCGTCCAACCTTTCTTGAGCTTGATTCGCCCAGGAATGCATCCTAAGCTGTTTGTTATTTATGTCAATGTTGGAAGCAGGAGAACCTACCACACAATGGTATGTGCCTGTGTGGTTGAGCAGGGCCACGACCTGCTGTAAGAGCCTCATCTTGGGCTCTCCCTCAGTGATGGTGACTGTACCTTTAGGTGTCCACCTGAGGTCATCATCTTCCACTGGGGGTGTCTCTCCTCTCAGGCTTGGTCTTTTAAAAGTTTCTTTTTAATACTGTTTACATAGTTGAGAGGAATGCAGTTCAACGTAGGTAGCTGGTTAGGGTGGGGAGGGTCGGCTATGGAGGAGGGTGAGTGGAACAATTTTTTCTTTGTCCTGTATTTGCAGGGGAGGAGAGGGAGAGGGCTTCTCCTTACTGCCAAACTACAGCACCTGGGGGTGGGGGGATGGCTGTTTGATGACACCTTAGAGACCCTGATGTGGAGAAGAATGTTCTGAGGGTGTTACTTGAGTGGTTTCCATAGTTCTGAGAAGCTCTTGGTTTTGTTGCTCTAGGGTTGAGAAAAGCTTTCTGAGGTGCATTGGCTGACCAATTCCATCTCAGTGCATCCAGAGACCCAGGAACATGCTGCTAGTTTGGCCAGGAGAGTTGTCCAACCTGTTCTGTTTGCCACCGTCTGTTGAGGCAGGTGATGTCCCCCACTGACCTAAAGCTGGCTGTCATGTCCAGACAGCATCTGGATATGCTGTCCACTATATAGCCATCAGCAACTGGGGAGGTCCAGTTTCAATACATGCTCTCCAAGGTCGGACCACATAACCTGTGATCTCCCAGGTTGGCCAGGGATTTGAGTCCAACAGTCTAGTGAGGGAAGACCCCAACAAGCCTCAACTGGGGTGATCTGACTGGACTTCTTTAAGAACTTTTTTGGAAAGGCAGATTCATAGAGAAGAGACAGAAAAAGTCTCCATCTGTTGATTCACTCCCCACGTGGCTGCAATGGCTGGAGCTGAGCTGACCTGAAGCCAGGAGCCAGGATCTTGTTCCAGGTCTCCTACTTGGGTGCAGGGTCCCAAGTCCTTGGGCCACAAGCAGGAAATGGATGGGAAGTGGAGCAGCTGGGACACAAACCAGCAACCATTTGGGGTCCTGGTGCTTGCAAGGGCGTATTAGCCAATTGAGCTATCATGTCAGGGTCAGACTTGATTATTGTGTGCCCCAGTCAGTTCAGGGTCAGGTTCAATCTCACCTTCCCTAGCCAATGCACATACCCGTGCTTGAGCTGCCTGGTCAGTTCTACTCCAGCCCCATAATCTCACACAAACTGACAGATGCTGCGGCTCAGCCCAGTCTGCCCAGCACAGACCTGTTCATCACACATGTTAGCAGATGCCATGGTCTAGTTGGAGCGATCCCATAAATCTCCATTTGACCCACCCCAACCCTGTTTTAGGTGTGTTTTAGCTCCTGCTTCAGCCTAGCCCCACCAGCTTTGGGTACACCATGGGAGCTGCGGTTTAGTTTAGTCAGACCCAGCCCACACACATGTCAGTGGGTGCACTGCCTTGTCCAGCCTGATCCACCCACAGCCTTGGTTCTTGTGCTCAGCAGTGGGAGGTACAGTCTAGCAGGAGAGTGCCCTCAGTTCCCCTTCCAGGCATGTTTCCAGCTCCGGATCTTGTACCTGCTAGAGTATACTGTGGTCCAGCCTGATGTCAGTTGCACCCAGGCCTGGTGCTTGCCAGCTGGTGCTGTGGTCTATCCTGGCTGGCTCACACCTATTTTGGCTCTTGGTGTGTGCCAGTGGGTGTGACAGCTTAGCCCAGCATGACCCACAGCCAGTGTCAGCTGTGATTCACCAGTTGAAGCAGCAGCCTAGCAAAGGAATCTTTGAAATTCCCTAGGCCCCCTCCTAACTCTGGCTGTTGCTCATGCCAGCAGGTGCTGTGGCCCAGTCTGAGATCACACACTACCAATCTTGGCATGTACTAGCAGAAGTTACCGCATGACTTAGCCCAGCCCACTTCCAGTCCCAGCTCTCTCTGGCAGGTGTAGCAGCCTAACCCAACCTGGCCATCTCCAGCCCTCAGGTGAACTGGTGGTGTCACAGTCCAGCTCAGCCTGGCCTGCACCCTGTTCTGGCTCTTGCTCATGCCAGTGTGTGCTGTAGACTGACCCAGCCTGACTCCCTATTAGACTCAGTTCACACATACCCGCAGGTGTTGCAGCCCAGCCTGACCTGACCTGCCCCCAGCCCCTGCTCTCATACTCATTAGTGAGAGCTGCAAGCTAGCAGGGCAGTTCCTCAAGTTCTCCAATCAAGCCCTGCTCTCAGCCCCAGATCTTGCATGAGCTGGTGGGTTCTGTGCCTAGCCTAACATGGCTGGCCCCCAGTCCTAGTTATAACTGATAGGTACTGTGGCCTAGTCCAACTGGCCCATTCCCAGTCTAGCTCTCATCAGTGGGTGTTAGATGCTTGGTCTTTGTTAAATGAGACCTTTTCACTCATTGCTGTATGGGGAAGTACAGCAGAAGGCAGTGGCCTGTACTGACCTGAATGTATTTTTGGTAATAACACTTGGCCAGGAAGTGGTTCTATGTTCTGCATGACTGACAGCTTACTTCGCGGCCTCAATTAAGGAACTCCATGTCACCTGGATGCTGTACTAACATGTGGGAGATCACCCCTAGATCTCTGCCTGCTAACTGGTGAGTGTGACTCACAGCCTACCTGCCCATGACCTGAAGCACAGCTTCCAGCCTACATGCAGAAAGTGACCTGTGACATTACTGAAGAGTCTAAAGGGATAGATGTGCCTTCTAGCCAATTAGTGTCATTGTTGGGTGGGAAGACTGTCGGGGACCACCCTTTTACCTAATCTATATAAGTTTGTACTCACTTTTCAATAAATGGACATCCCCAGCCAGACTGTCCCCAGTGGTTCTTTTGGCCGAAGAGCACCATTGCCTCATTCCTCAGTGGTCTTGGGGCCTGCTAGCAGGAAATCCCCCCCAAGAC